TTCCTGCAATCAAGTTTACTTGGTCTCAATAGCCGGAGCCATTTTGGTTAGAAAAAAAAAATTCTGTTCTTACATTCATTTTCCTACCAATATATAAAAATTTGCTCCATCCGAGGTAATTAATTACTGCATATAAAATATGTACTTTCAGTGTGTTTTTTTCCTATCTTATTTTTTGGCCAGTTCTAATGTGTCAGTCACATATTGTATGCATACACTCGATGTATGTCTAATTATGTGCAAACAGTACCGGCTGGCGTGGGGGCAGGGAGTTCACTCTGCTCTCCCTCACTGTTGCACAGCCTTGGCGTTGCCTCTCTGTAATGTCTCCTGGTTGTCTAGCGATGGCTTCTGTTCTTGCCGGGCTCCATTGCTCGACCCCATCGTCTCCATGTCACGGGCTCTCACGCCTCTGCTTTCAGCCTCCGCCACTTCAGACAGCGATCTCCAAATGGCTCTCCTTCTGATGATCCTAGGTTTTTCTCTGTATTCCTGCGTCTGAGATGGCTCATATAGAGGTGTGCTTTTAGTCTTTCAGGAGTTTCCCTCAAGGAAACTTAAGTCACGTCCTTTACTAAACTGGAAACTAAGGCTGTATCCCAGCCTAATCCTGTGTTAGCTCTCCCACGAAATTGGGATTATAGCCACAGCCATAGAAGCGAGCGCTTGCAATAAAGGATTTGCAAAAAGGATCATTGCTAAAAGGGTCGTATTAAATAATTGACTATATCTCAACGGAAAGGACAAGTATAAACTTTTATTACGTCTTCCTATATAATCAGAATAATCAAAAACTTTCCTGAAAAATCATCATATAAAAATGTATTAAAGGATTCTAGATATTTATATTATAACTTTTATAGCAATTTTATATGTAAGACAAAGTAGAGTAATATGTTTTAGGTTACCCACCAAAAAACTACTGTCATCAAGTAAGTGACGGCTCATAGTGACCCTGCAGGACCCGAGAACTGCCCTGGAAGTGTCCCGAGACGAACTCTTGGAGCAGAAGCTCGTCTTTCTCACCAGGAGCGGCTGGGGTTTTCAGCACTTGCCGCTGTCGGCAAAACGTGTCACTACAACACTACGAGGGCGCCTTAAGTTGGAGACATAATAACACCTTGAATCCAATCTTTTGTCTGTAGATATTTTGTCTGTAGATATTTTGTCTGTAATATTTATGTGTATGTGTTTATGTATTCATACTTTCCCCCCTTTTTTTAAGGGCCACATGATAGCATCCTGTGATGCCTGTGGAGTTGTCAAACTATGGGATTTTCGGAAACTCTCGGCGGTTGTGTCTATCGATATAGGTCCAAGTCCGGGAAATGAGGTGAACTTTGATTCAACAGGTAGGGTACTTTAATATAACATTTGTCATCAAACTAGTAACTTAAAACTTGGTTCTGAAGTGATTTCCTCTTGCCACTTAAAAGTTTTGGCATAGCCTCCCATGTAAATTTGTATTCTGAATATTAGATTGCAGTATATTACATTGTTTAATTATGTATCACTTTATGAAAGAATTATGGATATAATATATGTAAAGAAAAAATATGGAGATAACCGTGTCCTGACATAAATAGCACAGGTTCCTAGCAGGGCCATACAGAGCCTTGAGCCGCCCATCCAGTAGAATCACCATCCAAGGTAAGTCATTTGAGTTTTCTGAAGGTCACCTACATTGGAGTACACAAGAGCAAAAAAATTTTGGCCAAAATGTGAACTTGGACTATTATTTTGAACAGAATTTTAGTCTTACAATAAGTTAATACATTGTTCCACATTCTTCATGTTATTAAATTAATTTGAAATATGTATTCATCTTCCTGTTGCTATAAGCTCTTCTTCATACTTTTACATTATTATTTAACTGTGCATAGCATTTTTCTGCAATGATCTTAACATTATAAATCTGATGAGACATGCTATCTAAGCTGATGATTACACTAGCAACTGATGCTAAAACCCACTCAATAATCCCAGTTGTCCATTTAGAAAATTAAACATATACTTGTATCTATATTTTTCATGATAGCCCTTGATAAATAAAAATGTTCATATTTTATTAAGTAATATAATCTCTTTTATTGCAATTGTGCTGTCTGGTTTAATCTGTTAAAATTTCTGATAATTTAAAAATATATCTTAGCTATTTGTGGTAGTACATAGATGTATAGATTGGAAATACTTGAATGTTATATAAGAAAATATAAATTATTTATATTCAAATATGTAAGCTTAAAAAATAGAAAAAATAAAATTATATAAAATGCATGTTACTCCTAAGTGTATACACACACACATGAAAGGAAACTTTTATTTTAAAATATTCCATATTAATTCTTTAACTCAGAAAATATGAATATAGCATGAGCAATTCCAGAATCATAATGTTTGTCTGTGTTTTATTGTACTGGCTTCCAAATATTTCCATCATAGACCTGAAATTGAAAATACAAAAAAAAAATTGGTATTCTTATCAAAGTGTGTCTTCTTCACAAACTCTAACATATTTCCATCACAGGTAAGTGTATGAGCCACACTAATACTTTTGAACTTTTAAAAAATGTTTTAAGTCAAGTTCTTGTGATTAACATATTTATGGCCTGCCAGAAGTCAAAAAGAAAACACTGTACTGAAGAGAATATCCCAACGATGTGAATTTCATTTCATGAGATGAAAGCCTATTATAATTTCAATTTACAATTTCTGATACACAAAAGTCTGCACTGGCATTTAGGGTTTTGGAGTTTTAACCTGGTTTTCATAAATTTGCTCATATAGTTAAATCCATTTTTATTATCTTGAGCTATTTTCTTGCATTTTGAACTCTGAAATCTTAACACTTCTGGCTATCTTGTCTCATAAGAAACTAAGAATTGTATGTAAGTTTATAATTCTTATAAACATAGGCTAACTTTTAATAACCACTGTGAATATTAAATATTCTGTCACTTGCTCTTTACTGACCTTATTACCCATCTCAAAAGTTAATTTTTTCTATGCAAATTGGATGTTAAATAAATGTCAGTCTGCATCTGAGTCCCTCACACGAGTCTTCTGAAGTCTTTAGAAAGTCTTTGATACAACAAATCAATTTTCTCTCTCTGATGACTAATGGGCTCTTGTTAATGCATTAATAATTTAAAACCATGAGGATCAAGGGTAAAACCAGGGGAAACATGAAAACACACAGGATGTAGATGAGCATAACTGGAAATGAAAATAACTTCATCAATTTGAGGAATGTCACTTCAATCTGACCTTCCCATCCCTTGGACCATTTCTTCAAGGAACCTACCATAGTTAACATTGATTCTATGTGGCCAGGAACTTAATATCATCTGTTCTTTCTCATTGAGTAGTATGAAATTTCTGCATTTTATTTAAAAGTCTGAAATATAGAAAAATTGGAGGAACCAGAGAGAATAAACTCAAGGTTTAATCAAAGTCTGAGCAAACAATAATTTTTAAAAAATGTAATGCCACTGAGTGTATTCCAACTCAGAATGACCAAAAGCATAGGAGAGGCCTGTCCCTCTGGGTGTCTGAAGATGTGATCTTTAGGCAAGGAGAACTCTTCCTCTCTCTCCCTCGAGGGACTGCTGGCTTCTAATTGCTGAACTCTGTTGGCAACCCGACATGTAGCCCCCTCTGACCAACCCGGCTGCTTAAAGTTTGAGCACAGTTGTGAAATCACAAAGTCAAGTCCAGAGGGTAAGCTTCCTGTAAGAAGAATGTAAGTGCAGAGCAAAACCAAAATGAAGGAAAAATAGAAACACAGAGATCTTCTCCCATCTGCATACACTAAGGGATGTTTTATATTTTAAATTATTCCTTTAAAATATCAAAAATATATCATGAAAATATTTCAAATGAGTATAAAGTCAAATCCAATTTAGTCACCTGATACTTACATAAACCCATATGGTGTAATCGTTTTTAAAAAAATAACAACAGTATACTGATAATAGTATATTGACTATTATCACAGTGAGAGATTAATTAATATTTACAAAGGGTCTGCATTAGTTTATCTGTGTTTCCATATTGAAATTCTGTGACAAAATAAAAATGTGTGATTAAAATGAAAATGTGTGATTACATATAACTAGAGGATTATCTCATTATTTGTCACAACTTAACTAATGAGAACAAAGCCATACTTTTGGACACGAAGAAAAGTCTTTGAAACAAACCCATCATGTCATTATAACATCATTTAACACATTTAACACACGGTTTGGGTAACATTCTGTCTAAAATACTTAGCAAAAAGAATGTGAATAGTTGATAAATAGTTTAAGTGATTATCTTAGAAACAAAATTTATATCTAATCAGTTTGCATGTCTCTGGATCAGTTTAATTGAAGAGCATCCTTGAGATTATGAGGTGTGCTATTAAAAAATTTGGAAAACCTGTTTACATATACAACAGCTTGTCTTCATAAATAAGAGATCTCCTGTCACTGCAAATCCAACATTATAGAAAAAATTGAAAGTAGAGCTCATTATATTAGATGGGTGAAACTGTTGCTAATAACATTTTATTTCAATTTTATGTATATAAATCTTGCCTCATTGTTTATTAATTTCATAAGTGAATATTTCCATCTTAATTTATTTATACTTTTATTTTATTTATAGTATTAATTTTAAATAGGAATCCTGAGGGTGCTGTGGTAGTTGTTGAGCTGCTAATCACAAGTTTTGTTGTTCAATTGCTCCAGTCACTCCATAAAAGTAAGATGAGGCGATATGGTCCCTTAAAGGCTTGAAGTCTTAGAAACCCCATGTAGGGTCACCATGCGTCAGAATCAACTCAATGGCAGTGTGTTTTGTTTTAAAACTTGGTGTTATTCTTAGTGTCTCTTCTAAAAAGTATCTTTGTTTACATATATATAATAATATATTAATATACAAAAAGAGCATACAAAAGGATGATAGGCCATAGTGTTGCGTTCAAACCCTAATATGCCCACTGCCATAGAGGAAATCCCACTCATAAAGACCTTATAGAACAGAGTAGAACTGTCCCCTGTGAGTTTCCGAGGATAGAAATATTTTTGGTAGCAAAACCTCGTCTTTATCCAGAGTAGGGGCTGGTGGGTCCAAAGGACTGACTCTGCAGTTAGCAGGCCAGTGCAAAACCCACCCAAGCTTCCTTCACACCTTTAGGTTTAATCATCGTTTCACCTCCTTTAAGTTTTTAGGCAGCTTACTTAGTCTCTCTGAAATGAGTTTCCCCAGAGATGTCATGGAGGAGAGGGCACTAGGAGATATTTGTCTAAGCATTCAAATGCCAATTGAAAGAAATAGTGCATATACCAGTACTATAAGGAATTCTTGTCAAAGGCTTCCATCATGTTTTGTTTTTATTTCCTAAAGCTGAAAGGGTGGAGTGGGGTGTCTCACAGGACATTTCATTCATTCTAGGGCTGAGAAAAATATGTCCACATAGTAATGAGGAAGTAAACAGACAACCAAGGTTTTATACTAGTTTAGGAGGTTTCCAGTGAAAGCATAAATACTGTAAAAAAAAAAAAAAGGGTCAAACCTCATCTTTATACAATATTGACCATGGCCTAAGAATTTAAGAGGCAAATAATAAGCACACAATCTTATGTACCCATAGCACATACAAATCAAACAAAACAAAACAAATGAAAAAAAACCTCACTGCCGTCGACTCTGTTCTGAGTCATAGCAATGCACAGGACAAAGCAGGGCTGCCCCTCTGTTTCTGAGACTTCAAATCTTCCCAGGAGTAGACAGCCTCATCTTTCTCCCATGGACCAGTTGGTGAGTTCAAACTACACACTCTCTGGGGAGCAGCACAGTAAGTGGCCCATATATGCAGAAAGCCTAAAGATACATGAAGCACCTCTTAATGGTTAGCTTTTCTTTAGACATATGAAATCATCCTCTGACATATTTAGAAGTAAAGTTACATGTGAGATAGCATAATGTAACTAAAAGTTTTACTGCCAAATGTGACACTTGTGTCCCACATAGATGATCTGTTTTTACATATATTACCTGTGTTTTATATATATTCATACACATATGAATATATAATTATCACCCATTTATTTGTAAAGTCAAATCTGTTTCATTTTCATTAAACAGAGAGCTTCTTTGTAATATAATGCTGCATATGTTTGCAAATATTCAGTATCTAAATATCTTTCTTGCCATACTCAAAGTTCAATATGTTTTACCATTCAAAATTTATTGCTATTTCAGGATATATTAAATTGAATTGCATGGTGAAAGTCATAAAAGTGAGCTGTGAGAATTTATAGGTTTCTCTACATCTCCCGTTTCATCGTTTTTTGTGTAGTTTAGC